TGCCACCCTCCCGATCCCCATCTTCATCCCTTCGGCTTATCCCAAAAAACCATCCCCAAAGTCCCGCCGCCGTCCTGGCTGAGGGGAGCGCGGCTGACCGGAGGGCACCGGGGGCAGCGCAGCCCCGGCGAGGCGAGGAGTGGCCCCGCGGTCCGTCCCTTACTCCGCTCCCGCCTGGGCAAGCGGGGGCTCCCGGAGCTTGATCTGGTCGCTACCCTCCGTTTCTGTTGTATCCGAGGGGCTCCTGGGGGCTGTAGGTGCTGGGCGGCTCCTGGGCGATATAGGTGGGGACTGGGGGGCTCCTGTCCCGGAGGAGTTTCCCTCCCCGGCGAGGGGCAGGAGCCCCTGTCCCTCTCCACGAGTGCGGATTTTGTCAAACAACTCCCAGTTTGTTTCTCGGGGCAGAGCTCCCCAGTTCGCACGCAATCCCTCGGACCTTTGTGGCGTTGCAGGATTGCGATTATTCAAAAAACCAATCAAACTACGATACCGTTGTTAAATATGTCCAGTGAAAGAAAAAGGCGTTCTTCTAGGAGGATCGTGAACCAAAGTAATTCAATAAACGCCTTTTCTTCTGTTGGTTTGCTAGCTGTAGTAGCCAGGCAGTGCCTAGTACAAATATATGTATTTCTTTAAACCACTTCAATTTGTTTTTTTTCTTTCCTAAATTGCACCCTTGAGGTTTAGATCTGGCTAAATCCCACTCACTTTATTGAAACTGGTGGGCTAAATTTACATGGAGCTAATCTAGGGAGTAAAACGTTCAGGCTTTGGCTTTGGACCACATTTGAACTGAAAGTAGACAACATTTTTAGGTTTGTTTTTTTTTCCTCTTTTGTTTTTATTGTTCTTGGTTTATTTGTTTTATGCTCTTTCCTGCTTTTTAAGGCAAAAGACCAAATATTGCTGCTAAAAATGCAAAAAAAAATCCGCAAAAACTTGTTATATTTTGACCTGTTTAATTTTCCCCTAACACCCTTGTGATTTCTGTTTCTCGCAGTTCTTCCTTTGTTCGGTCTATGTCCCGATGTGCACAGAGAAGATTAACATCCCCATTGGTCCCTGTGGTGGCATGTGTCTCTCCGTCAAAAGACGATGCGAACCCGTCTTGAAAGAATTTGGATTTGCCTGGCCGGACAGTCTGAACTGCAGCAAATTCCCACCCCAAAATGATCACAACCACATGTGCATGGAGGGTCCAGGTGATGAGGAGGTCCCCCTTCATAGCAAGACATCCTTGCAGCCTGGAGAAGAGTGCCACAGCATGGGATCTAACTCGGAGCAGTACATTTGGGTGAAGAGAAGCTTGAACTGCGTCCTAAAGTGTGGCTACGACGCCGGTCTCTACAGCCGCTCGGCCAAGGAGTTCACAGATATCTGGATGGCCGTGTGGGCCAGTCTTTGCTTCATCTCGACTGCCTTCACAGTCCTGACCTTCCTGATTGATTCATCCAGATTTTCCTACCCGGAGCGCCCAATCATATTTTTAAGCATGTGCTACAATATTTATAGCATTGCTTATATTGTGAGGCTAACTGTGGGCCGGGAAAGGATATCCTGTGATTTTGAAGAGGCAGCAGAACCTGTTCTTATCCAAGAAGGTCTTAAGAACACAGGATGTGCTATAATTTTCTTGCTGATGTATTTTTTCGGGATGGCTAGCTCCATCTGGTGGGTTATTCTCACATTGACATGGTTTCTGGCCGCAGGGCTCAAGTGGGGCCACGAAGCTATAGAAATGCACAGCTCTTATTTCCATATCGCAGCCTGGGCTATCCCCGCGGTGAAGACCATTGTCATTTTGATTATGAGACTGGTAGATGCAGACGAGCTCACCGGTCTGTGCTACGTCGGGAACCAGAACCTGGATGCGCTGACAGGTTTTGTTGTTGCTCCGCTTTTCACCTACCTGGTCATTGGGACTTTGTTCATTGCAGCAGGACTTGTGGCCTTATTTAAAATCAGGTCTAATCTCCAGAAAGATGGAACTAAAACTGACAAACTGGAAAGGCTGATGGTCAAAATCGGTGTCTTTTCTGTGCTGTACACCGTCCCAGCAACGTGTGTCATTGCCTGTTATTTCTACGAAATCTCCAACTGGGCCATTTTCCGGTATTCGGCTGATGATTCCAATATGGCAGTGGAGATGCTCAAAATTTTCATGTCCCTCTTGGTGGGTATCACATCGGGTATGTGGATCTGGTCAGCCAAAACCCTGCACACGTGGCAGAAGTGCTCCAACAGACTGGTGAACTCAGGGAAAGTGAAACGGGAGAAGAGAGCAGACGGTTGGGTGAAACCTGGGAAAGGGAATGAGACGGTGGTATGAGACAAGGACAACACCTCAAGGGTCTGACTGCTCCCCTGTGAAGGACTGATCGTGTGTAAGCATTGTGGTGTAAATGTTGGGAGTAGTAGGGGCATGGTTACACTACTTGTCCTTGGGGGATGGGAAAGAAAGCCTTAAAGAATAATCAGAAAAAAGATCATGCTGCAGATACGATAGCCATAAACCATACTGCCCAAAATAGGAAAGCCCGGTGAGGCTTTAAAAGCTGTGAAATATCCAAACATGTTATCTTCCTTTTTTTTTTCTTAAAGCAGAATGCAAGATACTGAAGTCTTTAGAAACTGAGGAACTGTAGCCCGCACCTGTGGGATGTTGTTTTCTCTTCATCATCTTATAGCTGATGGAGGAAAGGTGGTCCAGAGCCAAATTTTGGGCTGATTTAGGGTCCAATTATCAGCAGATGGAGCAGCCAGGACCTTAGTTCCATGTCTTCTTCCCAAGCTCAGCATCAAGAAGGAAGCTCTTCCCAGGGTTATGTCTTTATGCCCTGGAGAATTCTGTTGCTCCCATATGCTGCACAAGTCAGCCAGGGATCAGGTCCTCCAGCAAATACCAAATGGACTTTCCAGGTCTGAGAGTTACCCACGATGAGCAGGATTTAGTGAGGATGATTCTTGAGGTCATCTGATGGCCTAATAATAATCTCCTTCTTTTTACTGCCTGTAACCTGGTCTGAATTGAGAGTTGGCTCTGCTTTGAGCAGGAATTTGGACCTCCCAAGGTCCCTTCCCACCTGAATTATTCTGTGATTCTGTCAATATTTCTAATTTTTTAAAAGCTTTACACAAGGCCATTGAGTCAGTGGGAACAGTGAAACTGTGGATGGTCTTTGCATTGATTATCATTATCCATCTGCCTCCATTCCCACCCCTTCAGGTGCTCCTGCTATTCCCAGCAGACCACTTCATTCTGCTGCATTTAATAGCTTTAATGAAGTCTTACATGATAGTGCGCCTTCCTCCAGGAAAGAGAAAAAGGGGTCTCTTCAAACAATGCCAGTTTTCTCCAAGTAAACTTATCTAGCTCTCTTTGGATACCCGTTGCATGAAGCAATTAAGTCTTAATATTTTCGTTCAGTGCGATGGTATCTCTGCAGACGCCAGTCTGGGGAGAAGCAAAATGTTGAGTTCCTTGGCAACCTCATGTTCACACAGATCAGTTGTGTAATTATGTGTGTCAGTTACAATTAAAAGAACATTCTCAGCCTGTGACATCGCAGCACAGCTGACTGCCTCACAACGATGCTCTGATTGCTCACTGACAGCTATGGAGATTTTGGTTTTTAACATATATTTCCATGCAGAATGTGAGCAGACATTCAGTCCTCAGGAACAATAAGAGACATTTCCAGTTTTTGTAAAGGGATCCCAAGAGAAAAGACCCAACTTCTTGGTGAATAATGATTTGCAGCAATGGAAAAGGTTTCTTACCCTTTTATTTGTGGAGACATTGACTTGTGCTCATGGGGAGCTTGAACCTTGTTTCAGGGGATTGTTTGTTTAATAAGAAAGGTGATGCAAATCGAAATAGCCCAGAAGCACTTAAGAGGACACCATTATGATGCTCTTCCTTTGAAGGACCTTCGGTTTTTTTCCATGTACCCTAAACTTTTGCTTCTTTGTTTGTGTGGAATTTGTTCAGCTGCAGAGCATCCTCCTGGTGCCCCAACTCGCAGGACCTCCAAGGGCAGCTGAGAGGAGGCTCTGCTTTATTACTGTCCTCGCTCTTCCCACAGGTGTTCCTTGTGCTTCCCAAACCACAGCTCATTCCAGCTCTGGCTGTGAGCATTAATCTGTCCCAGAAGCGTGGGTTGTTTCAATGGCAATATTGAAACATGTGCTAAAGCACAACTTTTTTTAAAAAATGTAAAAAAACCCAAACCCCAAACAAACCCTAATTTCAGTCTTTGCAGTTGGACTCCTTCTCCAGCAGAACAAGTGACAGCTTGACACATTTTGCTCAAGATGCACAAGCGTTGTCTTAGCCAACGCCACGTACCAGCCGAGCCTTTTCATCCTCTCCATAAAGTCTTTGGCTGATGGTGTTGTGTTTGGATCTGGTTATTTCTCTGTGGATGAGGAGTTCTGCAAGTAGGAGATCTTCTGATTGGCCGTCATGCATCATCCATGGGATGTAAAGTCAGCAGCTGTAGGTTGACTTTCAAGGGGTGAGGATGCAGTAGGAGCCTTGTCTTGTACCTGAGCATCGGGCTGTGCCAAGGTGTCACGTTCCCTCAAGTGTCTTTCTCTCTGAAATTATTTGGATACTCTCCTGGTCGGTATCACCCATGTTTGACCTGACTGATGCAATAAAAGTCATTTTTAACCATGTTCTGTACACAGATGTGAATGTTAAGTATTACCCTGTGATCAGATCCACATCTGGAGGTGTGGACTGTGACAGACACATGTCCCTGGTGATTTGAGACATTGGAAGGGAGTCGGGTGAGAATAGCACTGTGTAGCCCTGTGAGGGTCCTGGGGGGATATTACATGAAGGAGCGTGAGAGACTTAAAAATTATGGGGAGGAGGTGGACTGGGAAGAGACACCAGCTTCTCCCAAGCATTCAGGGGGATGCTGTACCATCTCAAAATGATGTTAGCTGTTATAGCAATGAAACCTTAACTGTGTTCATCTACACGCATTCACCTTGCTCCGATGTGGGGCCATGTGAGCAGGAAATCACAGCAGATTGCCTAAAACATGGCGATTGTCGAGAGTGGATATCTGCAATTTATACGTTCTCATGTTTCAATGAATTTAAAGCCAAAAAATATGTGAGCAACCCTGTCTCAGAAGTGCAGTTGCTGTGGTTATACAAATTGAAACTTTGCAGCAGTCCCTGCTCCCTTCTACTCTCCCGATGTGTGCTTTCCTCACTGCAAGCTTTGGAAGCATCTGCTGGAGAGGTGCAAGCTTGGCTCTTCCATTAGACAAGTTAACTCCTTTTTTTTCCTGAATTTTAAAGAAATAGACACTGATTATTTTGGGGTGTACAGAAAATATATCTACTTTGATGTATGTACTGTAAATTTCTAATTTATCACTGTAAAAAAAACCAAACAAACCAAAACAAAAAATTTTGCTATTTAATTTTTATATCAAAATAAAATTTTAACCTCTGTGGATAACTAAGGTACTCCTGGCAGCCATCAGATTTTTGCCTAGTTTGTGTCTTAAATTGGCTTCATTGTTGTTGGAAGTGCTTTTTTCACCTGAAGGAAGAAGGACTGAAATGAAGGGATGCTTTGAGTGGGTTGATCCAGCCCAGTTTGAATCTAAACATGAGTGGCAAGAAATAACTGAGAACAGAACATCATTGGGCAGTGGTTAAAGCACTCGCAGGCTTCGTGGCTTGCAGGAGAGGTGGACAGAAGCCCCTTCAAAGATGGCTCACTGGGGTGTCTCACTTCAAAGGTGGGTGACTGGGGATACAGCTGGAGGGCTGGGGGATGAGTAACTGGAGCTGCCAGGCAGAAAAGGACCTGGG